CTTCTGCCAATTCTCTGGAAGAAACGCCCCCCGCCGGGGGGCAAACGGGGGGGGGGGGGAGCCGCCTCCATTTCTCACCAAGTTGGTTCTTCTCCCAACCGGCGTAATTCAGAGCAGAGCATCTGGTTTTGGCCTGGAAGCTGAAGCAAGACAAATTCAGACCAGAAAGCAAGGGAAGCAGGGTCCATGTGATGGCTTGGCTCGCTGCTGCTGCCACCGCAGACACTTTGATGGTGCGAAGAGCAGGCCAGCGCCTGGCAGCTGGAGACATGTAGCTCTGGGGATGTTGACTTAGCTGGAGCAGCCCCCAATGTGGGCTGGATGGCTTGGGACGTGCAGTGGTTGTGGCAGCTTTAGAGACATGGGCACCTGCAGACCTCCCTGGTGCCCATGGGGGGAGCCCCTCCAGAGTCTCATGCGTCCCTGTCACTCCAAGGCCAAGGTCCCAGTGCCCAGGTGGCTTCCCCAGTACGTGCCTGCCGTACAGCACCCACTCCTAGTGTTGCGGGGGGCGCCGGAGTAGGTGGCCGAGGCAAGATTTACCTTGGTGGGGGAGGCCTGGTCTGATCTGCCCTTCTGCCTGAGAAAGGGTGGGTGGGGTGGCCTGCTCCACTGGCAAGCTGGCTTTCCCCCAATGGCCCAGGCCCCGCACCCTTCTGCCGTCCCGTCAGCTGGCATTTCTTCTGAGCCCGCTGGGCATGAGCCTGTACCGGACGCCAGGCTGGGCTTCTTCAGGACATCCAGCTCCAGGGCGAATTGGAACCTTTGGGACAGGAGCCTGCCACTTGAGGCTCCTTTGTGCTCGCAGCTCAGCTCAGAGCACTGCCTGGCCCTGCGCAGCCGATGGAAGAGCAGAGGCTCTGCCGCGCCGCTACCTTCCTCGCTGGGTCTCCCGCTCTTTCGTGCAGGCCAGGGGAGGGGCCAGTGAAGCGGAGGTCTCGGTTGGCCCAACCGACCAATGCATGGCGCTCCCCTTGCTATGGGGCAGAGGGCGTGTGTACCCGGCCACTAGCCAAGTGCCAAGGGAATCTGAGAAAGAGAAAGAAGGGGGCCCTCTGGAGTCGGGTGTCTGCCTGGGCCGGAGGGGGGGCGGAGAGCCCGGGGTTTTATGCTGATCTCTGAAGGGGGGTGGGTTGAGGAGGGGGCTCTGAGCGTCTGTAGAGGGCGGGAAGACAAAGGGCTGGACAGCTGAGGAGAGCAGGGCCTCCAAGAAGGGAGAAGCATGTGGGAACGTCCAGACGCTTGAAAGCCCTCGCACACTGGGGAAGTGGACTTTGCTGGGGAGCCCAGGCAGCGAGCGCTCACGGAAGATTTATCCCGCCTTAGCCAAGGCTCGGGAGATCCCACGTGTGACTGGCATGCAGATTTGCGGTTAACAAAGGGAGACGGTGGCACTACTGCTGCTTATGCCCAACGTCTTCCAGACTGCGG